TAATAGACTAGTGTTTTGACATTTATATCCTCATTAACTTCTTTATTCATCCATTCAGTCAGTACAGGTTTCCTCCCTATCCGAAAGTAGAGCATTCCTATGAAACCTTTCCTAAGCCAAAATGGCATAAAGCAAAGAAGCAATTACCACTAATTTATATGGGAAAGATTTTTTAGCATTCCCAGACCCAAAAAATAACCTACCTGTCTTAGTCATCTAGTGCTGCTATAACAGAAATACCATAAGTGGATGGCTTTAACAAAGAGAAATTCATTTTCTCACAGTCTAGCAGGTTAGAAGTTCAACTTCGGGGTATCAGTTCCAGCGGAAGCCTTTCTCTCTCTGTTGGCTCTGGAGAAATGTCCTTGTCATCAGTCTTCCCCTGGTCAAGGAGCTTCTCCGCACAGGAACCTCAGGTCTAAAGGACGCGCTCGGCTCCCGGAGCTGCTTTCTTGGTGGTATGAGGTCTCCCTGTGTCTCTGCTCACTTCTTTCTTCTATATCTCAAAAGAGATTAGTTTAAGACACAACCTAATCTTGTAGATCTCGTCAGTATAACTGCTGCTAATCCATCTCATTAACATCATAGTGATAGGATTTACAACACATAAGGAAATCATATCAGATGACCAAATGGTAGACAATTGTACAATACAATCATGACCTAACCAAGTTGACAGATATTTTTGGAGGACACAATTCAATCCATGACACTATCAAATCATACCATATAACACATAAAACCTAAAATAAAACTAACCTATAGTAAAAGAAGGAATGATATGATAAATACACAGCCTATATAATGTGAGGAAGGTGCAGGACCCAGCAGTGTTTCGTTCTGTTGTACCTAGGGTCACTATGAGTCAGAACTGACTTGATGGCTTCTGACAACAACATATAAAGTAGAAATAATGTAGATACTGTGTAGTTTCACTTAACAGAATCGGGAAGACATCGAGCACAGTGGAAGGCTGAGAAGTGGTGGTGGTGATGATGGTGGCCTCAGTAGCCTAGCTGGCAATGGCACAGATGTTGACAGACACAGTTCAAAGCCATGGCAGTGAGAAGCTGAGATGCTGAGTGTAGTTTGGGAAGGGGCTTGGCAACGCCACTTGCTGTTTGGTGGTGCGTGCTGCCTCTTTAAGGGCTCACTGCAAAACAAACACTGAATGCTATTTCTGCTTTTCAACTGTTTTCGTAAAAGCGAAAATCCTCTTCGGATTTCTTTTGGTTAGCAAAAACAGGTACTAATGTAGGTCTTTCGTAAAAGCAAAGTGACATAAAGCAAAATTTGGAAAAGCGTGGAGTACCTGCACTTATTTAGTATCTGTTTACTTTAAAATCTGCCTTGTTCTCCCAACCAAATAATACCACTTCTCCTTGAAACCCATAGAACTCCACTTATTCTATTCTGTATTTTAGAAATCAATCATTTCTGTTTGAGTCATATCCCCTTATGAGATAATAAATGCCCTTGTAACAGCAGCACCCATTTGCTTCTCTTTATAATCCTTGAATCTCCTAGCCTAAACGTATACACGGGAGGCACTCCATTGAAATTTGCTGAACTAAATTGAATTGAAAAGTGGGGTCAAGACGGAAAAGTATCCGTTTGGATTCAGTGTTTCTCCTAACTTTAATCAATAAGTACATATTTAAAAGTCACATTCATAGAGATGGACTTTGTCATAATTTGGTTATAAAAGAATTGTAATGTTTGCGCCTGGTGTTTAGCTTAATATTATACATAGACCTGATTTTAGAACTGAATTATTTGACCAGCACAATAAATAGTTCCAAACAATAGTTTGTTTCCTAAAAACCAAATCAAAAAAAGTAATTAGAGGAATCAGTCACTTCTCTTAAACATTTTACTCTTGTAAGGATGGGCTCCTTTGAAAGTGTGAGATCAATATAACTTGTGTGTCCTTCCTAACCTATTAGACATAACTCTAATAAACAGACACTTGATCATTATTCTTTGCTAGTTACATCCTCTGTTTCTTTTAAGAATATAAAACAATGGAGTTGCAAATTCTCTGATCCTACACTTTTTTTCTTTATGAAAGATTGTAATTAATTTTTGTAACAAGTCCTCATCCTAGGCATTATTTTCCCTTGACAACTGGGCCAACTATATCTGTAGGAAGACAGTGCTATTTTATATTAATATCTTTCATCTCAAGCTGTTTCTTTTCCCTGTATATAGAAGAATAACATCAAACATACAGAAACACAAAGTCTGGTCTGCATTCAAAGTCAAATCGCTGTTTTTTTGTTTTTTTTTTTTTTGGTACAAGGTACATGTAACTTAGGTACAGATGATGAAAGCCATGTAAAATCACAACCATGGCATTGTCAGTTTTACAGGCGCATTTAAAAAAAAAAAAACACTAAACAAACAAAACTTTATTTACAGGACACTTTACTATGGAGTGCAAATTGAATTTTTTCACAAAGAAACTTCCATCCGAAATAGTAGATGCATGAGGTAAAGGGACCAAGATCTAAGAGTTAAAGCATGGCCTTCTGAGGGCAGGGTGGCAGGTGACTTCTCTAGCGCTGAAAGGCAAAGAGGCTTTCACAGCCCTTTGTGCAGCATGTTGGTTTTTTCCCAGCCAGGATCTGGCTCAGCAAAGATGGTGATCTCTAGCATCCCAGCCGGGTAAATAAGTCTTCAGATCACTGCTTCTGGAGGCCCTCAGTCCCCACAATGTTGATGCATTCTAAGCACTGCAAGGCCTTCTTTGCCAAGATTTTTGTCCCTTTCAGTTTTATAAGTTTTCACCCTTTTGTCATCTCTGGAGGAAGGTCCTTGTAATACATCACTCTTCCCTTGGTCTAGGAACTTCTCTGCACAGGAACCTCAGGTCCAAAGGACACACTCTGCACCCGGTACTGCTTTCTTGGTGGTATGAGGTTCCCATGTCTTTCTGCTTGCTTTTCTCTTTTATATCTCAACAGAGATTGACTTGAGACACTATCCAATCTTGTAGACTTCATCAGTATAACTGTCGCTAATCCATCTTATTACATCATAGTGATAGAGTTTACAACACATAAGGAAATCACATTAGATTACAAAATGGTGTACAGCCGTACAATACTGGGAATCATGACCCAGCCAAACTGATGCACACATTTTTGGGGGGACATAATTCAATCCATGACAGGCTTAAATAACCACACCAGAGAAAGTTGTACTGAATCTGCAAGAGGTAAATTAATGGATTGCTGAGTGGCAACAATCCCTGCTGAGGTCAAATAGCAGGAATACATAGTGGACTCAATAGTAGAGTGACTCCTGACTGAGTACCAACCATCAAATATCTCCTGATAATTGTCTTTTGCACAAACTGTACCTGAGATTCCCAGAGAACTTAAGACAGCCCCAGCCTGCTCAGCCCATACCAAATCACTAAGGTTGGATTAACCAGCATGAGAACTAATTAATTGTTTCTTTGCTATACTTTCTTATAACCTAATCTGTTTATTGCTTGCTCTCATCTTCATGGTAAGATTGTCAGGGGAAGTTCATTTTTAGATCAGTTATGTACTAGATAAATCTGGCACTCTAAAACATGTAGAAATGCTAGTAAAAAAATAAAGTCTTCAGGGACCAAGAAAAAAAGGGGACCGCCCCAAAGGAGATTGTCAGATTGGATAGCCTGATTGGAGTTGTAACGTTCAAGAACAGGAGCTTTGCGCTCAGTTGAGGCAGTAAGTTTGAACTTAAGACTCCCATATAAAGCCAAATCATTGAAGGATACTACCCTCAATAAAAGAGTACAATAGGAAAATAACTTCCATCCATTTAGAGAGTCAGCCAAGTGTGTTCTGTCTTGGCCAGGGCTTGGTATTGTAAGGGAACTATCTTCCCTGAGAATTTGTCATTATAGCCTTACTCTTAGGCAGACTGCACTTGGAATTTACATCATACACTGCTGTCTGGGAAACCTAAAGCTGAGAAATTAATATAACTGTAGCCCAGGGCCAGTGATATGAACATTGCAGTCTCTGATAGAAATCAACACAGAGCATCTTTGAGGGGATATCTGAGGGGTTATTGAGAATTTTCCCGAACTGCTAAAAGGCAAGGATTTTCATAGTCAGAAAGCATGACAAATCTTAAACAATACAAATAAAAACTAAAAAATTAAAAAATCTAGATACACTGTAATGAAACTGCAGAACAGCAAAGATAAAGAGAAGGTCTTAGAAGGAATTAAAAAGGAAAACTGAGATGTGCTGCATCATTATCTTTGAAGAGACCAATGGGGTTACCATCTTTATGTTAATTTCACAGTTAAAAGTTTTAATGGCTACTTCAAAAATAAAGTTGTAGTTTTTTTTTTTAAATTGCTATTATTTTCTTTTAAAAAAGTTTTCAGTTTGATTTCCTAAACATCCTTAGGGAAAAAAACATGATTCTAGGAGAGAAAAGCCCCTTGATGGTGTTTTGTTTTGTTTTTTTCTTATTCTTGTTAGTATAAGTATAATAAATATTGCTATAACCATATGTGGATGAGAAATAACTGAATATTCATAGACAATAATTTTTATCCGTTGAAGATACCTAAGAGTCTACATTGCTTCTCTATAAATTATCAATGGACTAAGTACATCTAAATGCTTTGAATGAAAATAATTTTGCTTCTTATGTAAATTTATTCTTTTGAAAATATATGGACACTCTTGCTTTGTTTCATAGCATCGTCATTCGCTTTGAGAGGATAAGATGCTATTTTCTAAACAAAACAGTGAAATTATAGGTCATTTGAAATAAAAAGCGGTATTTTTTACTTTAACCACTTATTTTTTTAATGTGGTCATAAAATTCTTCTAATTAGAATAAATCACTTTTATAAGGAAAACTACATCATTTTCTCATCATTGTTTCACATAGCATTATGTTAGAATTCTTAATATTCTATTTTTTAAAAAATAACAATTCAGAAATTTTAAATTGGTTTTCTCTTGTTTTCTATGTCTTCACAGATTGTAAGTGTTGGGAAGCATGTTAAAGGCTACCATTATATCATTGCAAACTTGGTAAGAACTCTGTATTTTCTATTTTTCATAAGAATCGCTAAAACATTCAAGATTTTAACAGCGCCTTAAAATAATGCTCCAATAAAGGATTAGACTACATTATTTACTAAGATTTTTATAACATATAAGTTAATATTTTTAGTTAAAATGATCACTGTATTTCTAAAGTAGAATTTAACATATATGGATGCTGATCAGCTTGATATCTGCCAAAGTGACCTTTAAAGCTAATTATAATGTTATAATGTTTACTTTTCTGGGGTATCACTCGTCAAATTAAATAGTGGGTTTTTTTTCCTGTCTAAATGACAAATGCTAGTCTATTGACAAAGATTTCCAATATGTAGAACTACAAGAATGATCTAAACTGATGACCCATGTTCTCCAATTCTAAGAATGACAAGATTGAAATGGCTATTTAAGCAGGTCCTTTGAGTGTAAGTAATGCCATTTTTTTAAAATGATGTCATCTTTTCACATATTATATGCAAACAGTTATTGAACAAGATATATGCATTATTATAAAATCCTTCAAGGCCTGAGAGAAGTCCTTCTAGATTTCTTGGCAAGACTTACTAAATATTTCTTGTTAATCTTGCAGTGCAGGAAAACTGGCTATGGAGAGGGCCATCCCTCTCTTGCTGTCTTGGGGTATCAACTGCCCCTAGGGCTTGATATCTTTATCTTAGATAAGTTAAGAAATTTTTCTTCTTTTTCTATCTTTTCCCGCCACACATTTTTGTGGTAAGTATCTTGAGTTTGAAGAAGAAGAATAGCTAAAGGATGCAAAAGAAATTCAGATCTATCCACTCTGTTTTCATGTGGCAAGTGGACCATCATCCTTTGAGAAAGGAATTCTCAGTCTTTAGTGAACTGAGCTTCTCTGCAGAACTGAGGTATTAATATGCAGCAATGGACTGAAAATTTCATTGTATTGTTTCTTGAATAAAATATAATTTTGCTACTTTTAGATACATGAGAGTAAATGGGCAGCTCCTGTCCAGAGGCGAGATGAGAAGGCAGAGAGGGTCAGGATCTGGTTGAATGGACACGGGAAATCCGGGGTGGAAAGGGCGGCTATGCTGTCACAGTATAAGGAGAGCAACTAGAGTCACATAACAATGTATATATATAAATTTTTGTATGAGAGACTAACTTGAATTATAAACTTTCACTTAAAGTACAACAATAAATAAAAACATATATATATAATTTTGCTACTTTTAATGGATTATGAAAATAATGGAAATTTTGATTTGTCGTTTCTACTCAGTTTAATAAACCCATAGTCTGGATGTTTTAATATGTTTTACAAAAATATATAGCTTAAAACTAATATATTTTTGTATTAATGTTACTAATATATTCTGGTATTAATGTATTAATCACTATAAGAGACCTCTGCTTATGAGATGTCTGTTTTTGCAATAACATTGTACAATGAGATTCTAATTAATTACTTTTATAGAAACTAGTGTGTTTTTACATCCATTCTTTCCAAACAATAAAATTCAGGGAAAGAAATCAAAATGTTATAGACTATCATGCCAGAAATGAGTTACTGACGTTGACAACCAAAAGAATAAGCCAGTACAAAATGGAAGGATGTTAATAGTTATACCATACTAATGGATATCACAGGCTGTCGTAAATAGCCCTAGAACATGGCAGCCTATTTAATTGCCGAAATATTTATAATGGCCAAGTACCAACATATGAAGTAGAAAAACCATCACTCTCACTAACAATAAGCAAGCTTTACCATACGTAGTTGATATATTTGTAACACATAATTCGGCCAGTGACTTGCACATATCTACGTTATAATGTAGTGTACTAACACAGGATTTTATTGACTTATTCATTTATTCCTGAAGAATTGTGACCCCAAAACCACAGTGGCTCTTGTTTCATTAAGTCAATCAACAACTATTTCTTGAAAGCTATGTGTTTAAGATTCCCAAATTTAAAGTCAGTGCAGAATTAAATAAAAAGAAAAATTATACTAACATTATTTATGATGAAAGACTGAATGATTTGTCTCTAAGTTCAGGGACAAGACAAGGATGTGCCCTCTCATCAATGCTATTGAACATTGTACTGACGATTCCAGAAAGGGTAATTAGGCAAGAAATACCAATTTAAAAATCCAAATTGAGAAAGAAGATCTTGTATATAGAAAATTCATAGAACTCTAATAAAAAACTGTTAGAACAAATTAATGAGTTCAGCATGGTTGCAGGATATAAGATGACCATATAAAAATCTATATTGTATTTTTGTATACTAGCAACAAAATTTGTGAAAATGAAATCAATAAAATAATTCCATTTATAATTTATAATTACAATTGTAATTTACAATAAATGAGGAACTTCTACTTAACTGAATTTTTTGAGACTAGCTTAATGGTGTTAGTAGGCACTGATTTCTGAAATAACAATTCTGATTGGCTACTGGTGGCTACAGATATTCCAGAGCTTTAAAATATTCTGTAGTCACAATGCTCAAAAGCAAGAAGTTTGAAGTCCAACCCATAATTATGTAAAAGAGAAGAATGAAGCTAAGCAGACATTAATATGTGATACTATACAAAGAGAATAAAATACTTAAGTATAACTTAAACCAACAAAAAAAGTGAGAAGTGAATACTGAGAACTATAAAATATTGTTGAAAGAAATTAAATAAATTAAATAAGTGAAAAGACATCATATTCAAGTATCAGAAGACTTAATATTGTTAAGATGAAAATATTCCCTAAATTAGTGTACACATTCAACACACTCTCCATCAAAATCCCAGCTGTCTTCTTTGCAGAAATTGACAAAATGATCTTAAAATTCATATGGAAATTCAAAGAACCCAGATAGCCAAAAGAATTTTGAAAAAAAATGGACCAAGTTGAAGAACTCACATTTCCTGATTTCAAAAATTACTACATAACTACAGTAGTCAAGACTGCCTAAAATCCATACATTTGTGGTCATTTGATTTCTGTCAAGTGTTCCAACAGAGTGCAATGGGGAAAGAAGAGTCTTTTAAACAAATGATGCTGCGACAGCAGGATGTCCACATGCAAAAGAATAAAGTTGGACTGGGTCTCAAACCATACTAAAAAATTAACTCAAAGTGGATCAAAGACCTAAATGTTAGAATTAAAACTATAAAATTCTTAGAGGAAAACATAACCATATTTTTTATCACCTTGGATTAAACTCCGTTGCTATCAAGATGTCCAATTATCATTAGTCATTAGGAATATGCAAATTAAAAACACTAGAAAATTCACTTTATACCCACAAACCAGTTGCCCTCAAGTCATTTCCAACTCATAGTGACCTTATGGGACAGAGAAGAACTACACCATAGGCGTTCCAGGGAGCAACTGGTGGATTCGAACTGCCAACATTTTGTTTAGCAGCTGAGCTCTTAACCACTGCAACACCAGGGCTCCTTACACCCATTAGGATGGCTATAATCAAAAAGATGGAAAATAACAAGTGTTGGCAAAGATGTGGAGAAATTGGAGCCCTCATACATTTCTGGTGGGAATGTAAAATGGTTCAGCTGCTGTAGAAAACAGTTTGGCAGTTCCTCAAAGATTTGAAAGAGTTATGATATGAACCGGAAATTAATTCCTTGGTATATACCCAAGTGAAATGAAAAACTATGCCCACACACTTGTACACAAAAATTTATAGCAGCACTATTAGTGCTCCTTATAATAGCCAAAAGGTAGAAACAACTCCAATGCTGATGAACGGATAAACTAAAAGTGATATATCCGTACAATGGAATATTATTTGGCAATAAAAAGAAATGAAGTACTAACACATGCTGCAATGTGGATGAAACTTGAAAACAGGATGTAAAGTGAAAGAAGCCAGCCACAACAGATGATATATTGTATGACTGCATTATCTAAAATGTCCAGAACAGACAAATCTATAGATACAGGAAGTAGATTTGTGGTAGCCTATGGAAAGAGAGAGGAGGGAGGAATGGGGAGTAATTTCTTTATATGCTACAAGGTTTCTTTTTAGGGAGACAAAATGTTCTAAAATTGATTGTATGATAGTTGCACAACCCTGTGAACTAACTAAAAACTATCAAATTGTACACTTTAAATGAATGAATTGTATGGTATGTGAATTATATCTCAGTAAAGCTATATTAAAAAGAGAGAAATCAATGGGAAACTGCTACTTAACCAACTTTTTCAAAGCTAGTTTAATGATGTTAATAAGAACTGATTTCTACAATAACAATTCTTACTAGTTACTGGTGGCTACAATTATTCCAGGAGCTTTAAAATATTCTCAAGTCACAATATTCAAAAACAAAGCAGAAAGTCTGAAGCCCAACCCATGCTGATTAGAAAGAGAGAAATAAAACTAGGTAGATATCAATATACGATGCACGAAGTATACGTCTTTGCAAAAGTCAACCTTATTTAAACAAGGTTGACTCCCTGAAGAGACTGGGTTTAATTCTAAATATTCTTTTGATTCCTTTGGAATGATAATTCTCTAAGCCAAGAATCAAAATAAAGAATGTTGCAGAAATATTGGCTTCCTAATGGTCATTGAATCCATTCTACGGCACACAACAACAATGGTCATTAAATTATTTGGCTGAAATAGAGAAAGTAGATTCCATGTATTTAAATAAAATAATATTCTATTTCATTATGAGTAAGGATGGAATGCAAATGCTGTGAATGTTGTGAATACTCTTTGACATTATTTAAAATTTTTTTGTCGTTATCTAATTTGAATGTACCTTCTTTAATTACATACAATTTAATCTCGTACATTACATTTCGACATCTGCCTGGTTTCATTCTATTCTGACGAAATGGAAATAGATCAGTGCTTTCCATGTCCCACTGATCCTTCTAGCCTTTGCTGCTACTGTTGTATGCTGACATCTCATTTCCAGCTAGGCTGAAAGAGATGAGAGTCCCTTCCCTTTATTGCTCAAAATTTTGTGAGTGGCC